AGAGAGAGAGATTAAGAGAGAGAGAGATTAAGAGAGAGAGAGATTAAGAGAGAGAGAGATTAAGAGAGAGAGAGATTAAGAGAGAGAGAGATTTTAAGCCGTTTTGAACGACAAAGACGGGAACAACCATGTTAAAGAAGAATTGTAAGCTCATATCTGACTTTGTTCCAAAACCTGTTCTTGCAGGCGCAACGCTTACCTAACATTTACGACAAGACATTGAAACGCTCCTAAGTTTGTCGAATCGGCTGACGAGTAAATTCGAAATGCAATCTTAAAAAACGGAAGAATTTCTTGGACCCACAAGAATTGAATTATGCCCAATTAAGAAGATTTGAAGGCAGCTGTTGGTACCATTTGTGGAAAGCGGCTGATCCTTCAAATGCTACCTGCACTAAAATCTGACCGCCTAGGGGTTTGAGGTACGGGTGGGGGGGAGGGGGGACCAAGCCCGCATCAACAACGGAATACCTTTCCAAAGCTCAACACCATCTCGTGAGGGCTCAATGGCTGATCCGCTACGCAGCCTCGGCAAAGGCACGATTCTGGTGACAGGCGCGAACGGCAGCCTTGGCAGTACCATCGCCTCACAGATCGTGTCTACGCCCGAGCTCGCAGCTTACCATGGCCTCTATGCAGTGCGCAACGCAGAGGCGGCGCCCACCCTTAGATCTGCCATCGCGCAGAACGGGCTTCAAAGTACCAACCCGCACACTCACGACATAATCTCCCTCGACCTGGCGGACCTAGCCAGCGTGCGCGCCGTGGCCGCCACCATCAAGGCGCGAGTTGCCGCGGGCGAGATCCCGCCGATCCGTGCGCTTATTCTCAACGCAGGCTATCTCGAGTTCACAACGCAGTCGTGGACGGAGGACGGCTTCGACATGTCGTTCGCGAGCAACTACCTCGGCCACTGGCTGCTGACGCTGCTGCTGCTGGGGAGCATGGACCGCGAGGAGGGGAGGGTTGTTGTGGTCGGCAGCGAGGCGCACGATCCGCACAACCCGAAGGGCAAGGCATCATACGGCGAGGGGTGGACCGAGTTCATGCGAGACGGCAGTGGGCCAGTAGCCCGAGGCACTTGGAGCACGTCCAAGGAGAACCCGACTTACAGCGGCGGATTCCGCCGCTACGGCGCGGCGAAGTTCTGCCAGGTGATGATGATTCCCGAACTCCAGCGGAGGCTCGACACAGACCCGGCCCTCTCGCGGATCTGCGTCCTCGGCGTCGACCCGGGCTCCATGACTGGTAATCTCACGCGTCGTGGGCCGTGGTTCATTCAGATCATGTTCCAATTCATCATGCCGTGGCTGGCGCCGCTCATGGCATGGCTGCAGCCTAACGGCGCTCTGCGCACGTTGAAGCTTGGTGCGGCGGACATCATCGCTGGTGCTTTCAAGGGTGCGCCACCTCCCAAAGGAATGTACTTCTACGGGCCCCGGGTCGAGGAGATGGCGGCTGAGGCGAAGGACGTGAGGAAGAGAGAGAGGCTCTGGGTGGAGACGGTAGGGTACACGGGGCTGAAGGAGGGCGAAACCATTTTGACGAATTGGAGGTGACAGCGAAGAACTGTGTGCAATATAAGTATTCCGAGTATTCAATCTTGCCCTAGCAAGACGTAATGAAACTAGTAATAGCGGACAGAGAAACAAAGGACGATTAAAGGGTGAGCAAACCATGCCGAGAATTGAAAGTCTGCATGACCGTGAACCACTACTGCGCACTCATAACAACAAGGCTCTGAGAATTACTTTGCCCCAATGGCCAACAAGGACAGATCAGCACTTGATAGGATATTTGATGTTCTACCTTTCTGCCTCCGTCGAATCGGCACTGTTTCCAACCTGATCAACATTGGTAGGTTGCCAGCCTGTTGTAAGTAGAGATAGACTAGATCGACGATGAAGCAGGAAGCCAATGCAGGTATACATCTGAAGTTGTAGAGCAACTCAATCACAAGCCCAAGTGACTGCAAAACCTCTACAAGGCAAAAAATGTAATTCTAGGTAGTGCAAGCTGGTTGGATACCACGACCCGACAACACATTGAAAGTTTAATTGAAGTCGAGGACGGAGATTTCAGCATATGGTTACATGTAGCACATGTGACCAAAATTTGAGCAAGCTTTTGTTTGAGCTTATCCAAAAGGACATGTAAGAAGGCATCTAATGCAGATGCCTTTCTCCCTGGGGGTTAGACCCTACGGTATGAGCAAGATGACAGAAGTGTGTAGAGGTGACGGAAGCTGGATGGTCAAATCGGGGTCCATAATTCATTCCAGCGTACACAATATATTTGGAACGTTTTCATGAGAGCAGTAATGCTGCTATATCCATTGAGTGTAATTAATTTAAGCAATGGACTACCGCCTTGAGCAGTCTCCGCTGCCGTGGCTCCTTGAATATCCCGGTTTCCTCGTGTAACCGGGGGCAGATTAGGCCATGTCTTTCTAGGCGCCGATAGCCGGTCTTGAACCTCTTCCAATGTAAACCTTCCAAGAAGACCTTTTTTTATCCTGAATGAGTCTCATAAGTAAGACCTGTATCAGCCGGTACACTCATGCCCGTCCCATGGGCAGCCATCCAGCGCTTGGGGGCTCCCGCCCGTGCTCAACCCAGCCCAGCCCAGCCCAGTTCAATCATCACATGCAAGACACCAAAACGCCAGCCGCCCCAATGCAAGGGGTTGAATCCTGAAAACCTGTGACCCAAAATAAATCATTTCAAGACATTTCCAATTAATCATTAGTCACGCACATCCCGCCCAGACAAAAACACCCGATCATGAGCTCTCCTCAGCAATCCGCGCCTCATCAGGCGCGACAGCAGCCGAGCTCGCCCGGCGGTGGTACCCCGGGCCGCAGCCGGCGCAGTCGTCGTCCCAGCCGCCCGGCGGGCCAGCCGACGAGTCCATGCTGCACCGGGGGCTGATGCCGGAGAAGCTGCTGCGGGCCCCCCTGCTGTAGCGGCGGCTGCGGCCGAACTTCATGGTGAAGGTGCCGAGCATCTCCTGGTGGCGCAGGTTCTGCTCCGTCAGGGGCCGCTCGCTGGGGTGCACGCGGCGCGGGAAGCCGCTGCCGAACCCGCCGTTGCCGCCGCTCTTCTTGAGGATCGACTTGGGCGGCGAGTCGCGCTTCGGCGAGGCCTTCCTGCTCGACGAGTCGCCGCCGCCGGATACCTTGCCGTTGCTGCCGTCGCTGCCGCCGCTGTGGTGGTGGCGGTTGTTGTGCGAGCCGTGTGACCGCCACGATGAGATCTTTGACAGGCCGCCGAGACGTGACGACGACTTGTGGAGAGGGACGCTGGGTATTGGTGAGGTGCCTGCTGTGCCGGCTGTGGGTGAATCGTGGCCGTCGTCGCTGCGTGCGCCTGAGGAGGAGGAAGAGAAGGATTTCCGCACCATGCGGTTCCAGGTCTCCCGGATCGCCATGCTGGGATATTCCGGGGAGGTTCGTGTATATGTGTGTGTCTGTCGCTCCTATTTGTTCGAATTTTGGGTTTGGTGTATTGACTCGCGCTTTGAGAGGTGGCGAGGGTTGGTTGGTTTGTGTGGTTGATGCTGGGATGAAAATCCGGGGTACAGTAGGTTCGTTTGTTGAGGGGGAAGCGTTTGTGCGAGTCCAGCCGCTGTCTGAATCGAGGAGGGGTGTAATGGGGAGCTTGAGAGGAATCAGGATCCTCTTCGTACTGGGCGGTTGACGGCGAGAGATCGCGTTTGGTAGACAAAGGAATCAAAGAGGCGGACAGAGGCGGACAAACAAACGGCTCCGGCGTCGCGGGAGGCGCATGTATGTATACGATGGGCCGGTCGTGGGGACGTAGCCGACCAGCTCATGGGACTAGATACCACCCTATCACTCTGATACCCTGTCGCCTCGGCTGGTGAATGGACTCGAAACGTATGGTACACGCATATATCCATTCTAGCCTCTAGACTAGGAGCCCAGGGCTAGGGAAAGCCGCCCACACACATCCTGACCACCCCCCAATTCGGACAGAGAGTTGGGTTGCGTCCCGATTGAGGCTTGGTCCCCTGGCCTGGGGCCCAGAGCCACTGTTTCGGCGAGTCGTCGTTGTGTGTCGCCTCTCGCTGGCTGACCTGGCTGGCTGGTCTCGCTCCAACATCGGCGCTTTCTCCCAAAGTTCGGGGTTTGTAGCCCACAGTGGGGTCTCGCTCTCAATGGGGCCGCGGTGGGTCCGCAAGGATGGCAGGGAGCACCTGGATCGCCCCCCAGACCCTCAGATCGGGGGACCAGGGCCTAGAACGAAGGGTCGAGGGAAGCTGGGGCAGAAGGGGGGTAGCGCCTAGCGGCCCAGATGGCCTGGTACGCCTGGGAGGCTTTGAGCAAAGCAGCCTGAGGCGGAGGAGGGCGGGGTGGTGTGGCTCGAGCGTAACGTCAGTTACGGGGTCACCGTGGCTCGTGGGCAGACACATTCTGGGCACCGAACATGTGGTATGTTCGTTTGTTCAACCACAGCACTGTGTTCTGATGTGCATAGAAAAGGAGATAGATTAGATACTCTGCATACTGTCTTGACTGTAAGACAGTTAAACTACCGCACCAACAGCATCGGAATCTTCTCTCCCACATGTGCGCCCTCGGTCTCGTTTGACAGCTGCCGTGTGACTGTGTCTGTACGCCATCAACGTATCACCCGCACACGACACACGACACACTGACACCGACGCTCTCTTCACCCTGTTCCTCCCTGCGACATCTGCAATCCCACTCTGGGTTTCTTGTTTCTCGTATCTCATTCCGGTACAACCCCCCGAGGCCAGGGCCTGGCACAGCTGACTTTTTCCCTCATCCCAACGAGTGAATTAAGTGCCCTGGACGGGGGAAAAGACGCAGCCGTCTGTCCGCCCGTGAATTACCGAGACTCCATCCCAAAATGACCTGCAGAAGTGGTGTGGGGGTTTATCAGGAGAGAACTCAAAAAGTGCTGCAGAAAGTAGAGGTCGCACCCGCATAGCTGCATTGGCTCGCTCAAAATCTTCCTTGCATCCGGCGTCTCGCCTTGCTCCTGCTGGGGCCAGCTGGGGCCAAGCTGGGGCCAGCCCGGGGTGTGGGAGCGGGCGGGTGCACCCAGTGGGCAGCAGCTGGGCGCGCTACTGCAAGCCTTTTCCTCGCTTTGTTGCGATTATGGTGGGTGGTAGTGGTGGTGTCGGTAGGTCGGCTGTGTGCGGGTGGGTGTGCTCGGCTTCGGTTTCGACCGTAGGGCAGCCCGGCAATCCCTGGTTGGCTCAGAGTCTGCCTGTTCTGGACGCGTCTAATCCGTCCTGGTGGGCCTTGAAGAGATTGCTAAGACGGCCCTAAGGGAACGTTTTCTTCCTGTCACCTGTCCATGTCGGAAGGGGACGTTGAAGATCCTCCCAGGGTTGTATTCTGAAAAGTAAGTCGGAGATCTTCAAATCTAACGACGTCGATCCAAGGAGAGGCTGGCTCGAGGCTGGCTGTAGGACAGCGTTGTACCCTCATATCGACCCTCCGCATTTCTCGTGCCCGAGTCGGCACTTAACTGAATGGATCAAGGATGGCCCACCATCTGTATGGATATTCTGCTCAAAGAAGTGGACACTAGTCAAAATATTCAGGGGCGAGGCCGTGTTATTCCCTACGCCTTGACTGCACATGTTGGAAGCGAGCGTAGATATTTCCGCCTTGACGGGCACGGATTTCGAATGCCATCCCATCACGACACACGTGTGCGCCATCCCGTCCCTTCATCCAATTCCACAACCACAATAAATATAGCGACAGCCCGGCCAATTTGTCTAAGGATGTCAAATCAACTCAACGCGCCAGACATTCACCCCCAAAAACCCCTGAGCTGCCCAAGCCCAAGCCGCCCACTGCGGTTAGACCCCAGGCAAGAGCAGCAGCCTCCCAGTCGACCTCCTGACTAGGCAACGAATCTCCCTCTGCACTGACTTTCTCTTCCTCAGGGGAAGGCTCGTATGTCTCGTCGCCGGGTTCCTCCTCAGGGTCCTTCTTGACCTTCCTCGGCCGACCCCTGCGCCGAGGAGTGGGCGCCGCCCGGTGGTCCTCGCTGTCATGGCTGGCCACGCTGCTGACGCTGGGGACTCGTGCCTTGTGCTGCCTGCTACTTCGGCGGACGGATCCGGCTGTAGATGCCTTGTCGTGCTCCTCGTCTGTTGCTTTTCCTGAGATGTGCCCCGTCTGAATATCATCGCTGTTTTCGTACAGTGGCACAGATGAAGTAAGAACATCGCCTGCCTTGAGAGACCGAACGGCAGCCCAGACCCCGATACCGAGGCCACTGATAAGAACATCGTAGCCGACGGCTGCGACGATAGGATGATCTGCCATTGACCCCAAAAGCTTGCCGGAAGCCGTCCGCGCGCGTTCCCACTTCGACCGCTCTTCTACATCCCACGGCAACAGCTTGCTGTGGCGGTGGTAGTGGGAGTCAGGAAGATTGTACCTGAGACCATTGAAGGTCGCTGTTCCGTGCAGTACGAGACTGAAGAATGACATAAGCCGGAACAGGTCGGTGAAGGCGGAGTTGGCCTTCTCAGGGTGAGGGTGGACAAGACCCCACGATATCGGTGCCAGGCTTTGCATTATCAGGGGTGCAAAAGTCAGGCCTCTCGCCGCGCCCACAATACGATTGAAGGATGGAGTGTCCGCCGCATATGGCAAGTAGAAGATGCCCGCGTAGCTGAGCGCGATTGAAAGCAGGAACAGACCTGGCTTCAGAGACCAATTCTGGGGCTTCGGAGGGGATATGCTTTCGCGAACACGAGACCATCTACATATGAAGGTCAGCAAATTGTGTGCTTTTTTTTGTGCATTTGAAAGAGAAAGTACCTTGTGGATGGCTTCTCCACCGTAGGTAAAGGTGTTGGCGTTAACAGCAAGGCCACGTAGAATAGATTCTGCGCGAAAGAGAGATTGACCAAATGAGCGAGACAAAGGAACGCGAAGAGATTTGGAATCCTCCGTCTCATGCCCTCGATGGCCAGGAGAACACTCCAAGGGACCAGAGCAAGGTCGATCTGCTGTCCCCACCAGAGCCGGCGTGCTTTCTCGGCAACGATCTCGAACGCATCCTGGTAAATTGGTGTGTCGGCCAGCCAGCGGATCCTATAGATTGCGAGTTCAGTGGCATTCGGATGGGCAACATCGGTAACGTTTGTGGTTCCGTTTCCAGTGAAATCACCGAGAATACTGATGGACAAAAAGTCAGTTCGTGAGTGATTTAAATCATGGATTATGGGCTCGACAAACCTGGTTGAAGGCTTAGGCAGGTATCCTCTTGCATCAGCCCAGACCCGGTATGAGAGTTCAGCATAAGTGTAGCCTGAGTAAATTGCAGTGCTGAGACTCAGAAATGCCAGTCCAGAAAACAGAGGCACAAGCTTCCTTCGCCTGTCGAACCGTAGTCTCACATCTTGGGCCGGAGAGAGAGACTTGTACGAATGAGCAAGGCTGCGCGCAACTCTCAAGGTGAAGTACACGGCACTGGAGAGGTGGAGAGCTACGACTGCTAAGCCGGTGTAGCTGTTACTGAATCAGAGGCTTGCCAGGGCCCGGGTGCCCGTGTAAGGAACCCACTCACCTCAGCTTGGGCTCGATGGGGACCGGCGCCATGATCCTCTTGGACAACAACAACAACTAGGTGTAAGACTCAGACAGAAAACAGATTGAGATGTGAAGCTTGCAGTCGAGAGACGCGACTCCAAGCCTAACATGAAGCAGGCACAACACAGCAGGATCGCGTGCCTGTGATTGCTCCCAGATTAGAGACCGCAGATGTACTCGATACTTGGCGGCCAGCGAAGACCTCTGCAGACGTAATGTAGCTCTACCTCTTCCTAAGTTGGTAGTCTGGCCAGCACCCCTGTCAGCGCTCTGAGCACCCCGCGCTACCTAGGTACCGTGGTAGAGCTTCTTCAGTGACAGGTTGCTGGCATCTGCAGTGCCTGGGCACCTGCATCATCCGCATCCTGCGATCAATTGTCTGGCATCAGACTGTGGTCCCCGGAGGACCTCAAATTTTCAACCATGTATCACCTCGCCAAGGGTCTCTACCTGCTGGCGACCAGCAAAGAAGGTACATAATTCAGCAATTCTATCCCAACGACCTGAACATAGCGAAGGGTTTCCGGCCCCTGCCCTCGCGGCTGCTAATCTTCCTCCCCCGGCAGAATACTCCGTGATCCTCCTCGGCCTCGACAATGCCGGCAAGACCACATTCCACGAGCAGGTGAAGGCGCTCTTCCTGCCGGAAAACCCAGAGCCCAAGCTCAACACCGTGCCGACGGTGGGCCAGAACGTGTCGACCATCTCGTTGCCGGACATGTACGTGAAGCTGTGGGACGTGGGCGGGCAGCTGTCGCTGCGCAAGCTGTGGCAGAGCTACTACGCCTCGTGCCACGCCATCATCTTCATCATCGACAGCACCGACATCGGCGACGGCCGCCTCGACCACGACCAGACCGGCCGCCTGGACGAGTGCCGCCTCGTGCTCGAGGACGTCCTGCAGAACAGCGAGACCGAGGGCGTGCCGCTGCTCATCCTCGCCAACAAGCAGGACCGGGAGGACTGCGTCGAGGTCGTGCGCATCAAGGAGGGCCTGGTCAAGAAGGTCTTTGAGGGCGAGAAAGCGAGCAGCATCCGCGACTCGAGAGTGCTTCCTGTGTCGGCGCTGACGGGCACTGGCGTAAGGGAGGCGATAGAGTGGGTCAGGTCACGGGTAAAATGGAACAAGGAATCGAGGCCGCCTGTGATGCGGTGATGTGGTGATATCCTCAGCATGCTACAGATACAGAAGGTTGTTTAGGGATACGGTGTTCGGGCGTTGCTGGTAAGGGATCACAAGCTTGAAGGTGGTAAGCGTTTTATAGAGCTCTTCGTCATAACAACAATTACTGAGTTGCATAGCCAAGGAAATCCAGGGGTATCACGATTTTTGTTTAAACCTCAACCTGCCTCTCATTTTCTGCTGATAGCTCCGCTAATAATCCTCCCTTGTTTCTGCTCTTGACGTCCTCCGCAAGCTTCTGGTCCACCAGAGTCGAGAATTCCTTCGCTTTGGTCAGCGCGACACTCGCGCACTGCAGCAACGCCACTGCGTCGACAGGCGTGCCCCCGAGCTTCGCGATCTGACATATCTCGCCGTGCCTGTTGAGGCTGATGGTGCAGCTGCCAACGCGCACCTGCTCCTCGATCCAGTCGGCATCCACCAGTGTAATGTCTGCGTCGTCCCCGTAGAAGCTGAATGTGACACAGAACGGCGAGTGCAGCCAACTCAGCGGGACAGGCTCCCTCTCGGCAGGGGTGTAGACGGTCAGCACCTCGCCCTCCATGCTAGTATCGGGCTTGCGGAAGTGCCGCAGCGCCGCTACCACCGCTAAGCAGGACGCATCGACCAAGTTGCCATCGTGCGACAGCACGTGCAGGTCCACGCGGATTGACCAGCACTTCTGCCCTGCCACCAAGCACAGCGACTCCACGTCCAGGGCGCCCGAACGCCGTACCGTCTTCTCCAGCGTGCGCGAGAGGAGGACTTCGGTCTCGGTGGGGCGGTTCACCTCGAAGGCTGGGGAGGCCATGGGGCTGAGCTCGGTGACGATGTTGAAGACGCCGTCGAAGGGGCGGTCGGGGTAAGGGACTGTGACTTCGGCGGAGGTTTTGGCGAGGACTCTAGAGGCCAATTGGCGTTAGTTGCTAGTTATTTCCAATGTGAAGAGGACCCTGAATGGTACCGACCTCGTCTTGCCAAGCGTCACCTCGGCAGCGCCATACTCGTCGCCGAAGCTGAGGTCGATCGGCCTATAGTCGTCGAAGGCGCGGTTGTCGAGTCGCAACTGCTCCTGAAGGGCTTGCGTGACGAACGCCTTCTCGTTGAGGGAGGGTTCTGCTTCACGGGGCATTTTGAATCCGTGCTGCCCAAAATCCTTCAGGTGATACCTCTCATACCTGGGGGACCGCGGCGGGTGTCGAAGCTTTGGAGCTACCTTGGGTTTGCAGAAAGATTTGGGCCGCGGGGTGATCTCATCGCGGCAGACAGAGCGAATTCTGCCAGGCGGTGGGCATTCACTTTACAGGGTTGCACTGCAGGGGGTCTCAGGAACCCAGAGTTCGGGTCGGCCGCGCGACTGCAACCTCGAAGACAACCACCAATCTGCAACAATCTTTCTACTCTCCCAAGTGCTGTGTACACTCAGGATCGCGGCTAAACTCCAACGTCTCTGAACAGCGGGGTTCTCCTCATCAGTCGGCAAGATGACTACCGCTCACAGACCTACCTTCGATCCCGCTCGAGGCAAGGAAACCCTCCGTGGCCCAGCCTACCATCAACGTCTACTGCCAGCACACACACAACTCAAGTTCCGGTAAGTTCATTCCATAGGCCCGTCTTCCCCCTGAGACCTGCCCGCGCTGACTCCAAGCTATAGGAAACCAGGCCAAGGCGGCAGTGCTGACCGCGACACCCGTGATTTGCGCGCGGAACTCCTGGCCGCCGAGCAGGCACACCACGCCAAGTTGACCGGCGGCCCCGTCCCGTCAAGCAACGACGACGACACCTCCGATCCCACTCCCGCCAGCCGCGGCGCGAAGCGCGCCCTTGAGGCCGGGTCCACCACAGCAGACGATGACGAAGACCCCGAGGCGAAACGACGGCGGATAATAGAAGAAACGCGGGACATCGACGCGGACGACTCAGACTCAGACGCCTCTGACAAAGACGATGATGATGACGATGATTCGGACAGCGACTCTGACAGTGATGACGAGGAGGCGGAGCTGCAGCGCGAACTTGAGAGGGTCAAGCGCGAGAGACAGGAAAAGCGCGAGCGAGAGGAGCGGGAAAAGGCCGCTGCGGAGGCGGAGCAGCGGGAGAAGGAGATTGCTAGGGGCAACCCGCTTCTTAACAACAACAATGGCCCAAAGACTGACTTCACTGTCAAGAGGAGGTGGGACGATGACGTGGTGTTCAAGAACCAGGCTAGGGGCACCGAGGATAAAAACAAGAGCAAGGAGTTTGTGAATGATCTGCTGAGGAGTGACTTCCACAAGCGGTTCATGAGCAAGTATGTGCGGTAGACGACGGGTAGTTTTGAGGAGTCAGGCGCAGGCGACGGGACGATGGTTGTTTCCAGCATGGTATGAAAGACGGTGTTCGACATAGCAATGGTGTTCCGGAAGAGCGCATTTGCGACCGCATCTACGCCAGCTTCATAACAGACAATAGGATGGGACCTTTATGGCCCGTCTCAGCCAGGAGTATGAATCATACGATCATGATCTTCAAAATCATCCAATGATTCGATAGACGATGAGAGCCTGCCCTGGTTATGGTTGAGCCCACAGTTGCATGATGGTATCACAATCACGTAACAAAATCGAATAAAAATTATGGATGAAAGGCGTCAGCCTCTCAATGAGAATTAGGTTTTGTTTGATGCTTTCTTCTGTCCAGAGTCGCTGCAGCCTTGTCGATCGCAGTAGCACTCCGCTGAATAGCTTTCACACTGTCAATGAGGATCCCTTGAAGAGTACAACGGTCAGCACCATGACAACTTCTACCGGTGAGTGGATGAGCTCTGCGTGACATACAAACAGGAACGGCCACCCACGGCGCGTTGAACCCAACGTAATAGACCCAGAAGTACTGAAACTCAGGTCGACTATAGACCACCCCTGTACCTCTCGTTGACATAGCACGTCGAGTAGTACAGCGCCACACCATACAAATGAGCCACGTTCACGACGATCTGGAGGGGGTACCGCAGGCTACCGCCACGAACAATGGACACTGCCGTCGCGAAGCACAGCGGGCCCCACACGGTCTATTTATTAACTCCTCGGTCAGTCACAAGGTATAAGCAGCAATACTGTGGATTATAGGTGCCGTGTACATACCGCTGTGATTGTTTCCACACAGATCATGAAGGGATCTGAGGTCAGGTATCTCGAGTCCGAGAGTGCGTACTCTTTCCACAGCTGGGCGAAGAGGTCCTGCAAGCTGGCGAGCTTCGTGTGGTTTATGACGAAATACCCTTTTTATTCCCAAACCTTTGTCAGAATACCTTGCAGTTTTTGTAATATGCTAGGTTTGGGCCTGTACCTTCAAAGAAGCAGTGCAGAGAGCCACCTGCATCACCATGTCAGATTAAGGACTGCGGAACGCAAATTTCGGGTGGACCTACACAGAACGAACCAACCGAGAACGATCTTGTCGAATGGTCTCATATGAGACTTGAAGCGCGTCGCGAGCCATAGCGCCGTGGATATGGTGATGCCCAGAAGACTCACGAACCGCACGAGCAGCTCATTGAGTGAGCTCGCGTTGGGAATGTAGTGCGGGATATCTGCATTTGGAGGGAAGTATGGGTGAGCGGGTTGTGAAAATGTCTGAACCATTGCCACTGCATACATTACGAGCCTTGAAATGCTCGCAATTCGCTCCCAAACTTCTTAATGCTTCTCAGCCATACACACATCTTAACTGAAGATGGACTTTGTTAGGACACTGGGTGATGCAGACCCGGGTTAGGGTTTGTCCTGGCACCTCCAGGGGCTGCTAAGGTGAAGCCCATTGCGACCACGCGATATTCTGATATCAACAATATTGTGGTCATGCTGATCGTGATTCCTCAGGATCCTGCAGCGCGATGCTCGAAATTGACGGCTTGATCAATGATTAAATCTTCATCAAGCATATCATGACCTCCTGCTTCATGCGCCTGCGAACTCGACAATGGACTTGTCCTTGGGAATCTTGAGTAGCCCAACTATTCAACTTTCAGCCGCTTGGCAGGCTAGGTGACGCAACTGAAGTTTTGAGAGACGGACTTCATCACCACCCCCGTATTTTGCGCTCGACTTGAGTTCCACATGGACTAAAAGAATTGAGCCCCGGACATGAGCCTCTCCCGGGGTTAAGACGACGCCGGAACACAGCGCGGAATCCCACGCGGAACCGCGATGTTGCCCACATGCAGTGGACTGTCGATGGGGAGACCTACCGCTCGTCGAGATCGAACCCACCAGCACGCCTCCGCATCAGACCTCCTGCACCCTTTGCGATGGAACAGGCCGAGCGCCCGTCCCGAGCATCTCGGACAGGACGAACAGTCCGAAGGCGACGTGTCAGTCATATTTGAATGGCATCGCCATGTTGTGCGGTGCTTGGTAGGGACTTACAACAGCCTAGCCTTCAATAGGTGTTCTTCTACTCTTAAGAAGCAACTATGTCGCCGCCCCAACTACTTCCCGCTGGCTTCACCAACAGGGGCTACGGGCTATCCTCCTTCTCAGAGCCGGGCAACGTCATCGACCTCCCGACCCCGCAGGCCGGGCCGGGAAGCGTCGTCGTGCAGGTCGTGGCAACGCTGATCCTGCCATACATCGCGCAGGTGCACCGCGGCGAGATCCCGCAGCTCAATCTTGCGCTACCGCTCGTGCCCAACGCCAACTGCGTCGGCCGTGTGCTGGACGTGGGACCGGACGCCGCCAGGATCAAACCCGGCGACTGGGTATGGGTCGATGGTACAGTGTATGCTAGGGACGACACGCTCGTCAAGATCGTGCAAGGTCACCATGGCGGCGAGGGGCCTGAGGGAAGGGTTTTGATGCAGGGTGAGTGGAGGGATGGGAGCATGCAGAAGGTCATGAAGGCACCGCTGGAGTCTTGTTTCCTGATCAACAAAGAGTATTTATTCGGGCAGGAAGGCCACGCGCCTGAGGAGCTTACTCCAATTATCTTGTATAATATTGCTGGAGGGGCGATATTCGAGACAGCTAAAGTGCAGGTCGGCGACACCGTGGTGATAGGCCCGGCGACGGGCAGCTTTGGCGGTGCGGCGGTGGAGCTGGCACTGCTGTCTGGAGCCAAGGTAATTATGCTGGGGCGGTCCGAAGGGACTCTCAAGACGATGAAGGAGAAGCTGGGCAATCCGGAAAAATTGCAGTACATTGCCATGAGCGGCGACGTGGAGAAGGACACAGAGGCGATCAAGAAGTTGGCGCCGGGAGGTGTGGATGTCTTCAACGACTGGACTCCGGGCTGGTTCGAGAAACCCTTATATCTTCCTGCCGCCTTCCAAACGCTGAAACCTTGGGCTCGAATTGTGCTTAGTGGCGCGCCATATGGCACGCTTGAGCTTCCGTACAAGACCGCCCTTCATCTCAACTGGCAGATCCTGGCTAGATGGGCTAATACACGGGAGACGATGATAAGGATTGTGAAGCTTATTAACGATGGTGTGCTGAGAATAGGCAAGTCTGGTGGGTCGGAGTTTAAGACATTCGAAACCATAGAGCATGTGGAAAGTGCGAAGGAGCACGCTGCGGACGGGGGACGGTTCAAGTCTTACACGATCTTGAAGCCGAACGGGGAGGTGAAGCCAACGCTGGGGTAGAGAGCGATGAATTGTTGTCGACGCTCACCACTTGATCGGCATATTTGGATGTCCAAAGTATTCGATAAGTGTTTTTCAACACAACTCAACTATCAAGATCTCCTCCTTTCAGATGACAGGCGCAACGAAGCGAAGCCACGGCTTGTATGCGTGGCCAACCAGCAAGCATGCAGAGGTCATCGAAACACCCAAGCAGGGATGCTTGGCCTCGTGAGAAGAGGGCATTATATGAAGTCATTGCATGCATCCAGCAGAGAGTTTCGGTATTCCAGGTGCGAATGATAAGATGCCTGCCTGCCTTGGCCCATATGCAGCCCTACCAAACAATGAGGTGTGTCTCAATCCGGCCGCTGGGCCGCCCAAGCGAGACCATGTGCTGAGCCGATTGGCTGAAGCTATTCCATCGTCTTACACACCTCAACCGACGCTACGCAGTGGGAGTAAGTCACGCGCCATCCAGGCACACTGGAACTTCGCGTCATTAGAGTATGCGGTTCCCATCCTGCGGCTTCTTATCGTCAGGATCCCCGGCATCAAACCTCGAGCTTCATTCTCACCTTTTTACACTATATCAGGCTTCGATGGCAGCTTTTTACTGCAGAGGCCCAAGTTACCTTCATCATCGACCGGTGATATGAAGCCCGCTTGTTGAGCAGTTCAGCTGCAAAGATGCCTGCGTCTGCATTTATTTTATTTGCTTTGTTCTCATTGTGTCAGACCTTATCTATATTTCAAGATGGAGCCCTAAGCCGGCATATCCGAGAACAACAAGTCCTCGGCAGCAGCGGTGACGAGGTGACCTCCATCCCTTCTTCAAGAAAGAATCAGCAAGCCCGTGGCTTCGTCGCCCTCGGAGACAGCTATAGCGCCGGCATAGGCACCGGCATAGATGACAAGGAGCTCCCCTCAGAGGGCGACTGCCGCCATGGCGTGCACGCCTACCCGCAACTCATCCACCACGACCTCAACAACGCCACCGGGCTCAACACAACGCTCCAGTGGCTCTCATGCACCGGCGCCGTGACCACCGACTTACTCTCCGGCGCCGCCAAGGGCGGCGGTCGGGGCCAGGTTGATTTACTCAATACCTCGCAGCCGGTCGACTTCGCCACGCTCTCGATAGGTGGGAATGATCTGGGCTTCTTCGACGTAATGAACGCTTGCATCTTCCGATTCTACTCGTTCTACAGCGGTACATGCGAGGCAGCCCTCGAGGCAGCCGATGCCGCCGTAAAGAGCAGCGTCTTCGAGCAGCGGCTCGAGGTCATCCTGCAGGAGGTGCTCGACAAGGTGGCGTGGGAGAAGCGGCCGCGGTTTAGCATCACTGTGACGGGATACGCGCGCTTCTTCAACGCCGAGACGCCCGAGTGTGATGATATGTCCCTCGGCGTGTGGTACGGCGGACCGAAGCTGTCGCGCGAGATCAGGCGGCGGATGAATGAGTTGGTTGTCGCGGCTAATGCCAAGCTGCGGCGGACAGTCGGCATTATCGATGGGCGGTTCAGCGGGGCCAGGCCAAGGGTATTGTTTGTTGATTATGATGATCTCTTTGAGGACCACCGGTTCTGCGAGCCGGGTGTGCTGGAGCCGGCATATAATCGGACGGAAAGCTGGTTCTTCCTCATCGGAGGGCCTGACAATGCGAGGAACGAAACGACGTGGCCAAATGGGACGAATGGAGATCCAGAGTCAACGAGGTATCAGAGGGAGAGGATCCTGTCGCCCCTATCTCCATTGGTAGACTATCATACCTGCCTAATGCATGCCCAGGAGAGAGGTGACTGGGGCGAGCTGGCGCTGTGCTACATGGCCATGGCGAAGCATCGCGACCCATCACTCCGACCAGCGTACAGCAGGATCACAACTCAGAATAGTATGTGGTGGGTACCGACCTACTACGGCAAGGTATTTCATCCGCGAACACTCGGCCACGAAGCAATCAGGGACAGAATATACCAGGTGTGGGAGAAGTATGGGCTGTAGTAGATGGTCAGGTTGCTCGAGCAACACGTGCTGGATGGAAGCTGGCATTCTCAACATTGCTGTTATTCAGAATGGTACGAATGGGTCGTGATACCCTCCTCCCATCCCTAATTTTGGCACCTTTCATCCCATGTTATCCCATCGCGTCAGCATCGCGTTCACGCGTGAGACCGCGCCGCCCCGCAGGCAGGGCAAAGTGAATACCATCCCATCGCGTCCCCCCCCCCCCGCCCCCCTTCCTTCGAGCCTACATAAAGTAGCAAGAACAGGGCAAGACAATGACCAGCTAGTGCAGGGGTGAGTCCCACAGGAAGTCTGTGAGCCTGGCCTATCCAACTGCAGCACATCCGGGTTCGATTCCTGGCGAGGCCCCTAAAGCCTCCTATATCTGGGACTCCAAGTGCTGATCTGCCCGACAGGCTTGAGACTGTAGCCTCAAGGAGGATGCCAACTGGCGTAAGAACACCCAAAAACGAGGGAAGAGTCTCCACCTTGGGAAGAATTTCGTGGCTCGTCTGGAGGACGGCAGTCAGCCCAGCCAAGCTAACTTGGGTGTTCTAGATAATCTTTTGCTCTCCGCATTCATCCACCACTTGCCTCCTTCTGTTCACCCTTTCAATGGTGGTGCGTAAGGATGGGTGCCTTAGGCAGCTGACTTGCCTTTCCAACACTCCTGCACAAGTAATGTATCCATCCGTCTTTAAAGGGGCAGGGCGGAGCATGATGATCGGTCCTGAACGAGTTTATCGTTCGCATTGCTGCATTGTAAGGTATGATTTTACATGACCCACGATGAATAAAGAGTATGTGATACTACATGCCGTCCTTTCTGTCCCCTATCTGCATCTGATGTAAGCAGAACGCCCGTCCATTTGATGCCTATGCAAAACATAAGAAAATGTTCAAATACAGTACAAATACCCACTCAGCCCCTCTAATCCGCCATGCCAAAGACCTCTCCAATCGACAGCGTGTTGCTTCTAACGCCCGTCAACGTGATTAAGATTCCCACAAGGTCCACAACCAACAGCACGGTGGCCGCCATCATGAATCGCGGGCTGAACACGCGATACAGCATGAGATGTCTCCTCAGCCAGCCAGCCCACGCCATCGTGGCCAGGGACTCAACGGCGTAGTAGATTATGAAGATACCCAGGGCCCGGCTGACGCTCTCGAGCACACCCTTGCGCTTTGGTCCCGTCTTCCACAGCACGACCAGTGGCACCGAAACCGCCGCGAGGATCTGCCCCGCATAGCTATTCAGGACGACCAGCATTGGGGTCCACGGGTACCGGATCGAGAACAGCGGGATGAAGGCTGCGTCCCACTGAATGCTGCTGAGGACGGCCTGGTGGCCGGTCTTGAAGAAATGGAAGTTGCCAAGTAGCCCTAGCATGATGGGCCCAATAGTCTCGCCGGTGAGCTCGTTCAGATCCAGGATCTCCATCAGCGATAGGACCTGCCACATCATGATCGCCATGGCGCCGCCGCCCATAGGTTTCGACACTATGATACACGCGGCCATGATGTTAAGGGGAAGGAACAGGTACCGGGCGCCATTGGTGTTGGCGTAGCCTAGAACGGCAATTTGCGCGCGCTTGGCGTTCGTGGAGGTCGTGAGGATGGATATGCAAGGCGGCGCCCAGATGAACGCAGTCGTGCCAGCGACGATGGCGATGGCTAGGGCCAGCTGTGCGGTGTACACACTGAAGACCTTGAGCGTGCCTTCGGATAGACCGGTAGCCCAGTTCTCGTTGTCTGCTGTGTCCATGGTCCAGTACACAGCAGAAAGGAAGAGTGCGGCGCGAAGGGCATAGCCGATCCATGTTGGTGCCAGGCCGTGATAGGAGCGCGTGGGCACATAGTACGCCCTGATGATGGAGGGAAGAATGGCAAAGACTGAGAAAGGAATGGCCAAGTGCCAGGTTGCCGAAGTAGAAGAGGTTGAAGACGCGTAGTAGGTCGTCATGCAGTAAGGATACTGCTCGTCACGACAAAGCTTTGAGAAGGATACGGCTCGGCCAAGTAGGACAAAAAGAATCGAGTGGTAGACGGCAAAGTACCGATCCCCCAGCTTTTCAATGTTGAGAGAAGCAAGCGCGCTCACAAGACCGAATGTCGTGGTAAAGAAGAGCAGAATACTGTCTTCCCAAATCGTGTACGAGTTCGAGGCGAAGCCGATCGACTGGCTGATGGTGAACAAGGCAGCCATCCAGCCCCATAAGGTCGATGGAATGGGCAACACGAAGGAGGTGCGCAGGAGGGCGCCAACAACTAGGATGGTACTCGCGATACCAGCTCCCGCTGCGCCCAGCCGGTAGTCTTGTGCGTTAGTAAGAGCAGCATAGGCGATTCCGAGGACAGCTCCTGGTACTGCGCCAGCTAGGGCAGCCAACGTCACAGTCTTCTGTTGGGCTTGATAAGAAGGAACCTTCGAATCCTCCTCAACGCCCTCAGCTTCCAGTTTCCTCTCCGCAATGTCTAGCTCAATGTTGTCTAAGGCGGCGAAGTCGTCATCTTCATCCTTTGTAACATAAAGAACCAGAGCGACCAAGCCTAGGCCAGTGATGACAAGTCCAATCAACATACTTGGCACATCGAATCTAGCCCACAGACTCTTGCATATCCTCAGCGTCTCTGCTTGGTAGTCCATAAATGCGGTATACACTAGCGCGCGGGATTTGCCTTTGGTGTCGTCCTGAAGGACCTTTTCGGCGTTACTAAAAAGGGCAGCGGGCGTGCCAGCCTCACTCGTCTGCTCGAGGCCACGAGCAGCAAAGTACGATGCTTGGTACCGATGAATACCTGCAGCCGTCACACGAGATGCTGCTGCCAAGCTGTTCCAGGCATCTCCTTTCTTTCCAGCAAATGCCTCTTCAATGGGTGCACCCAAGTTGTTGTAGGGAATGGGAATACCCAGCAGGAGAGCAAGGGTCGGAACTAGGTCAATTTGGTTGACAGGTCGTACTTTGGCCGTGGCAGGCGGGATGGCAAATTCAGGTTTCGTCCTTCCGAACACTGCCTTCTTCGAGTACATCCACAGCGCAGCCTCGACTTCATCATCGCTTTCACCTCCGTGATCACCTTTGGGGTCCATGCCGTGGTCACCCATGACAACTAGCAAGGTGTCGTCGTCGATTTTTTCCACGAGATTTCTGATAAAATCATCCATTTGACGCAATTTTGCTGTCATGGCAGCATGGGCAGGACCGTATCGGTGGCCGGCATGGTCAACCCCAAGGAGGTGCCCGATAAGTAGGTCCCAATCGTCCTTTTTGTCCGTCTGTAACAGTGGGAATATGTGCTCAAGGACTCCATTGTCAACTGAATGCAAATCCCAGACATTGAAGCTGTCGTATGACCTGCTGATGTTCGACTGGAAGTAATCCGGAAACAAGGCATCCCAGGTGTCATCTCCAAGGTGCACAATTTTCTTCCCGGCATCCCGCAGTTGGATCAGCAGGTTGTCCTCCTCGATGGCGTTGCCTGCGAAGTTGCTTCCCATTTCCATAAACGTAGGCAGTGTTCCGGTCGTGAGCCCCTTCAGTCTCTGCAGTGTCGTCGTCGGGGGGTCCGCGATAAAAGGCCTCAGGAAGGCACTGTTGGGAGACTTGACAGCCGTTTCGTGGAGGAAGGGGAAGGCGTTGTGGAACTCGGCATCGTCTTCTATTGGCACGGTGAAGTCATATCGCAGCGCATCGATCAGGACAACAACCGCCTTGTCGAAGGTCTTGGGGTGCCAGCATCCGCCGTCCACGGTGCCCCGTCCCTTCCAATCGGATAGAATGCTGAGGTCTTTTCCGTCTGTACCGTCCACGGGATTGGCATCGCAGCTTGACTTCTCATCCAGGACCAATCTGGTCAACAGGAACCCCGACGTGAAGTATGCAATTCCTATTATGTGTATGCAAAGCATCCAGACCCAGAAGCCCAGCGTCCATCCCCAGCGGCGCTCGTATGCGGCTTTTCGGCGAGCCTCGAGGGCTTCCCGCTGCCTCTGCTGCAGACTAGCTTTCTTTTGTTCCTTCTGTATATCTTCATTTTTGCTATCGGCCTCTGCGATCTGCTGGCGGCGTTTGGCTGCCGCAAATTGGGCCGCAATAGCCTTGTAGTCGGTAGGAGGAGGCGAGGACCGGGTGCTGTCTCGAGGATTGGGCGGAGGCATTGTGCCTTGTCGAAGGAGTCGAGGTGGTGAACAGATTGAAGCGGTTATCGGATGGAAGGGAAAGATTGGGAACACATGGTCAGAATTGAAATAAATCGCTCAAGCAAAGGTCAGAACAGGAAATTGACAGGTTGTGTCGAGGTCCAGATTACCCTTTCGACCAAGATTTTGGAGCTTCCGAGGTCCCCTGAAGCTCAAGTGCTGTCTGTCACAGCTGCCGGAACCCACTTGGCTGCAGCTCTCCCCCACGTTTCACCCCACGGCAGGCATCTTTCTTGGTGCTGGTGTCGCCTAGACAAGCAAACCACCACCCAGTCGAGCACACAAATTGTGCAGATAGGTGCTTGAGCTGCGCTCAACTATATTAAAAGCAACGATTCGATTTTTACTATGCATCGTTGCGAACAAACCTTACTCACCATGGAGCCTGATTGCCAGCCCATACATGTGCCAGCTGACTGCTGTGTCAACTGCAAGGATGAAAGCCTGGAAATTACATAACAGACGCAATCGAGTTCACAGATGCTCGTGATCCACAAGGCACAGTCTCTCATATGGGATGATATATCCTACAAAAGAGCATGTCACTCATAGACATGTGTCACACAGCAAGACAGGTCATTTAGATAAACGTATCAGATAGAAGGATGTGTCACCAGTTCCACAAAGTCACCAGGGAACTAGCTGGGGGGAAATGCAGAGTTGATAAGATATTTTACCTCCTAACTCGCCACCTGTGCGACCCGTACTTGTGGACCTACTTTGGCACTCTAACAAATACATGTCTCAATAAACGGTCCCAAAATGGTAAGACCAGGCTATTTTGGTATGAAAATTGAATAATGTCACCAAAACTCGCGTAAGGTATAAAAAAAGTCAATCCGTTCATACCGTGATGAAAGAAAAGATTACATGAGAAACGTAAACTGATAAAGTTAAAATAAGTCCCGCGTACGGTGCGGCTTTGCTCCACTCCTCAAAAGGAAAGATATCCAAAGGAATGGTTAGAAGGAAATACACTAAATGTACTGTGGTACAAAGCCAAAAGAACCAGAACTTCCCCCTTCTATTACGCACGTCCATTCCTAGCCCAAAACGGATTGTGGTGGCACAAGCACAAGGGTAGGTTATCGACAAGAAGTAAAGCACATTATATGTACTTATCCAGACGTGGAATAATGGAGATCGAGGCTCAAATACACCGAAGAAGTCGAAAGTGGCGCTGAAAAGAACGAAAGTTGCCAGCACAATGCTCCAAAAAATGCTGGCTACGCAGACCGGAAGCCACGGAGCGTCACGGTAGTCTTCCAGGTACGGAAGCTCTCCCCCCCTGGAACTTATACAGAGGTTGGCTGGTGCGATGGAAGCAAAAGGTGGATTTTGTTGACTTAGTTCGACGTCTTGAAGCGAGTCGGACACTGCTCTGCTTCCAGTCGTTTGCCCGGAAAGGTGACCTTGATCCCGCAGAGGAATGGTTGCTGATGTTACCATCTGGTCTGTCCTGCCGGGATGATAGATTGGAGGCACCGATTTATGTGTAATATGAAAGACGAAAATACCAGTTGTGCTGAAAATAGGACCAAATAGAAGCAGAACGGGCAGGATCTGACCGAAAGTCCACTGGTTTTCAGCTGCTGCAATGTCGTCACTTCTCGATGTGATGGTATAGCGAGCGCCTAAAAGCTTTTCAGTTCCCCAGAGTAGAATAACGAGTAGCCAATAAACCTGAAGTGGCGTATATCAGTGTCTCGAGTCTTTTCGCGAAATCTTTCTGAAAGTATAGATAAAATCATACCTCGAAGAGTACAGAGCTAAGTAGATCACAGTTCAAACGAGCCATGAGAAAGATAGCCAGAGCTGGTTTTATGGCAAGCTTTGATATCAGTGCTTCTGAACGACTGGGGGCTGTATTCGATCGCCCCAGGCGTTGTAATATTTTCCGGGTCCAGCCACTCAATGGTTGTCTGACTCGAAGCCTAAAGGCTGTTGACAGTGGCCGAAATAACTTGACAGAGCGTGTGATGAAACCAGATATAAGAAGGATGATAGATAAAACCATAGCTTGCCAGCTCGAAGTGTCTATGATTCGAGAAGGATCTGATGGAGATGACATCTCTTGGTCGAATCGCCAATAGCCATAACTAACATTGAAATAACATTTGGCTTGTGACGCAAGACCATCGTGAGTGACGAATCCGGTGGGTATCAACCCAGTAATAAGCAGGATGAGAAGAGCGAACATGAGGACTACGCGAATGTATTTCACCCAGGGGTAAGTGTTGAGATACGTTCGTAGGACAGTGAGCCCAGATAAGTGCGTCACTGTAGAGAACCATGCAAGGTAGACGGCGATCTGCCAGTGACCCGCATCAAGCCCACAATCCAAGAGCATATAGCTACTGGAAAGAATACTGAGACCAGTTATGATTTGGATATCGCACAACATGATGATTGACTGGACCACGAAGTGTTTGTTAGTTCTGGAACTTCTTAAATTGACTAGAATCACAAGTGAAAACACAAGGGAAAATTGCCTGCCCACCTCGTCAAATGCCGATCGAAGACGCGCACGTGTATCAGATGTTAGAAGAGGTACCTTCTGAGCCCATGTGATGAACAGCTGGTCAATTGTGTTCGGCTGCCAGCAGGCGTTGCTGGTGGGGCCTGTCAGGTTGACTTGCCCCCCAAACGGGTCCTTATCTGGATCGAATGCTAGGCAATAACTGGCAACGACGAGAAGTAGAACAAAATAGGCTGTTCCAACAAATCCTATAAGTACCTGTGGCAGTCAATGTTAGCAAGCACACAACACATGGCTCGAAACCCTTGGGGTTGAGGGAGCCTACTCCATTCCCTGAAATGTCAGGATAAGGCTGCAGGTCGACAGGGTCGTGATTATTGCAGTCTATTGGAGGGCAAAGGCTCTCATTTGTGATTCCCGACATAGCAAAGGCTTTACGTCTGATAATTCATGGATTAAAATCCAATGCGGAAATCAAGGATAGCAAGTCTTCTGAAGATCATATCTAGTCAGGAAGCCGACAGCGACAATATGGATTTCAGTAATTGACATATGATGCATGCTAACATGTGTTGCACCTTTCCCCGCATGTGCGATTTGCATCTTAAGCAGCTAGCAGACAGAAATGCCAAGGGAACCTTGGAACTTTACGTGACCAAATGCGACCCGAAACAGGCAGCAGCATCCCCAGGGCGTTGACAAGGACCGATATAATGATAAAAATATTGTTCTCTATATATGATGCGGCTTCAGGATCCCGCCCCCCCTCTTCGTGTTTGGATAAGTTTCAGCCCTAATGAGACATTTTCTGCATCGTCACAGCACGAAGCCTGGATTCAGTCGTAGAAATATATTGGATTTTGTTGAGGTTCACCTATCGGCAAGAGAGGCGCAGGCAGCGCATCTATGCACGCGCGCTCGAGGTTGAGTGCAAGGCAGAGGGCTGACAACATAAGCTATCAATGGCAGCCTAAACCACAGGGCCTTACTAGTGTCCAGCCCTCGCATCTAACGCAAAATTCTTGAATTCGCTGCAGCAATAAGTAGCACAGCCGGCATTTCACGATGGCCGATCCAGATCTTCGCTTCTGACTGTCGCATCTTATCATGTTCATTATAAGGGGCTTATAAAGGTGTAGAAATCGTATAGAGGTGCTTTGAAAAGAGTGAAAAGCCCGGATTCAGCCTTTTAAGAATCACAACAATGTAGCCATAAGATTATTCCGAAGTTATAATGTAACAAAAATTGAGAATAGTGACGAAGGAGCTGCATTTACCCTCTCCCTCCACACGTAAGCCAAAACTCTTTTCACGGAAGGTGTGCATATTGATTTCATTTCTCTCCCCATACAATTCTGCAAGCCTGAAGTTCGTCGATCCTAAAGTTTGAACTAAAGCAGAAACTCCATTGCATGTTTACGCCGGCCCTACCTAGGTCTTTACTGCTTGATTCCAAATCATGCATAGATGCCCTTGCTAGCATGAGGTATTATACTCCGAAGAATCATTTGTCTAGCTGTTTTGGCGCTTAATGGCCGTAGAGGCCTTTAGAAGGCTAGCAGCATGATCATCTAACTAATTTGACTGATATCTCCTCGCTTTCTGGCATGGACATGCGGCATTCCACCCCTTTTTATCCCAACTTTCAGGTCTCTGACCAACATATCTATGATTCCTTCGACATGGTGGTCGGTCATCCATGATTTCAGTAAAGCCAAATCTCCAGCGAAGGCTGACCGGTCGAAATTGAACGAACTCTGGACATTGGCATCAACGGACATACACACACACACACTCTCTCTCTCTCTCTCTCTCACACACATACACACACACTCGTATGTGCACATATCCACCCACCCAGATATACATCCATAAATACATATAATTATATCTATAGAGACACAATGTAAACTGCTCCAGTGCTGCTCCGTTCTGAATCCAGACAACCTTAACTATTGTTCATAACCCAGCATTATATTCTAGATAAAGGAGACACCTACATGAGCGGGGGCATTCGCCTTTGTGCATTGAACAAACAAAATCAACACGCACATAATTGCAAGCAACGCTTTCGAATACCTTCAGGATGTGGTGCCCTAGCTGCCACCTAGCCCATAGTCAGTGCAGTTGAATGGTAACTTCCTAGGTCTTTACACATATTTCGGTAGAGAAAATTTGACCACTTGCCGATCTTGTTATATTTTCAGAGCTTAGCAAGGGGTGCCACATACTCCCTTTTGTTTGAAACTCAAGAGCCGGACAATATTGTTGAGAGACTTGTAAAGCACATGAAGACCGCAAACATCGAATCTTTTCGTTAGATACACCCTGGACGGAACAATTGATTTGATGAGATTGGACTTAGCGAGAATTGAAGACAGGTGGTTGACAGCGGGCAAGTGCAGTAACTAGTCAGATGTCTTTTTCCAATCTCAGTAGGATTCCGCAGTGGTGTGTGAGCCAATCGGCGCGCACCACAGCTGCCGTACGTGGTGTGGCGCTTCGTGTGCATGAGTCTCATGATCGGCACAGGTGTGCAGCACAATGTTCAGCAGGCTCTGCTCACAACGTCTGCATCCGACTTCATACTACCGCTGATCCATGAACACATCAATACCCGTAGTACATACGCAACAGAGCTCGGATTATACAGACCACTAAGATGAAGCAACTCATCCAGGGCGCTAGCTTTCCAGGTCTTCTAGACGACCCATACCAGTATGAACCGCTGATTGCGGTGCGCATCCTGGTCTTGGAACCAGCCGATTATTTCCAGTCACCTCTTCGTTGCTCCATCACTCAATATCGGCGAACCGTTGAGTCAGAAAATCGGGATGGCTGCGACTATTCGGCCATCTCATATACATGGGGCCACTCAGATCTCTCTCACAGGATATACATCAGGCTTGGTGCTCAGTCATGGGTTTTGTTTCGCATCACTGAAAGCGTCGATTCATTGCTTCGTCATTTTCGGGTGTCTCACAAGGCGAGACTCTTGTGGATCGACGCTATATGTCTAACTCAGGTGAATGAGATTGAGAAGACGCAACAGATCCCTTTGATGGGTCGAATTTACAGCGATGCAAAACGGGTCCACATCTGGCTAGGTGACGATGAAGTCATAAAAGCCCGACAAGCTTTCAGGATTATCCGGCAAATTGAGCGTGAAGAGCAACAGAAGATCAACAAGGAAGAGACCGAATGTCTTGTCGACTTCTTCAACCGACCCTGGTTCACCAGACGCTGGACGATCCAAGAGGCGGTCTTTTCCCATGACGCCATTCTCCATTGTGGATTCTATAAATTGGGCTTATCGCGGGTGATGACCGTTTTGAGAAAGATCTACGGCGTCAGGCAACATGCCTTAGCGAGTCGTGGCTCGCGAATGCTTTTATCGAGCATTGGTCTCCGCCAGACCTCACGCAAAGGGCTGCTTCTGCTGCTGGTAAGCCGCCTCCGGGTACTCTCCTCTCCTCTGCAATCGTATACGCATGTCGTATTTCTGGTCCAGATTATTCATCACTGTGAGGCATTTACCATCAAGCAGCTTATCAAATAAACGTTGGGCACAGAGGAGCCTTTTCTACCTGCTATCGCCGTACTATTTCTTCTTTGTGTATTATAGCTGACCCCGAGAGTTGCAGTGGGATTTGCACGAGTCTGAGTGCTCCGACCCGCGAGATAGGATCGCGGCGGTATATGCTTTAGCTTCTGGTCCTGTGTGGCCGCTGCGCCATTATGATTCAAGCAGTTGGAGAGAGATGTACACGGATGTAGCGTGCTACTACATCAACAGAACTGCTATCGGGCTCCATAAGACTTTTCCCCATCTCTGCGATTTTGGGTCAATGAGTTCAGGAACGGGCAAGGGACCATCATGGGTTCCAAATTGGTCCTCACGGCGTCAAGAGCCACTTCCAGATATGGTAAAGAGAGAAGTGTCCAAGTTGCCCTACCGTGCGTTTCTTCAGATGCGTGGAGACTGGACACATGAGATGCAGTCCGGATGGACATGGTTCTTTGAGGTCCCGTCTAGTCATCGCATATCTGTGCGAGAAGGATGGGAGCAGTATCAATTACGCTTACACGATAATCCATTTCTGATGAGGAGCGAGGCTTCTCGGCAGAGGCTGCGGGTCGAATGCCACCCTCTAAAATTGTTCCAGCAGTGTGGGATTGCAGACTATGTCTGCTCTTCTACAGCACCAAGCTTCTGGCAGGAGATCATTGAAGCATTCGATCCGTCGGAACTTGCTCAACACGAGCCAGTCGAAGTCGAGACTTGCTTATCGTCCCCAGGTTCCTTGCTCATGTTGCTGGCCAAAACGCTTGCCAAGAAGGACAAAGCCGCTGGGAGAGGTCAGCATATGGCATCCTACGTCGAAAAGATATGGGAAGGGCTGAATTCCCACCATGAAAATCCCGATTTTCTGAGCAACCAGCATAAGATTATTCTCCAAGGCATCAGCTCCAGCTTGCGCCCCTTCACAATAGTGAGGATTCAGACGATTGCGGGATCTTACTGGGCCATTGGACCGCCAAACTCGATGGTTGGCGATTGGATGATACCATTATTACCCTCAAAGCAAAACGAATTTACACCGGGCATGTGCCTTAGACCTATTGATCGCAAGCGATTCGGGTGGCCATCCGACTGTTGGGGCCCATCTTATCCTTCTCGGGCACCTAGTGTGATAGAACGCTGTCAGGACATCTTGAGACGTCCTCTGCATTTGACGGCGATGTTCGTCGGACCTGCAAGCAATTGTGGTGAGGCAGCCTTTCGCCCTCCTGAGGAAGAGAAGAAGAAAGTGCTGGAGATCTTGATGAAGGCCAATGAAGTAGCCAGAGGCGAAGGTCTACCTGGTCCAATCGTCTTCGATATCGTCTGAAATGGCCATATTGCGAGCTGGACTACACATGAATGTTGCAGAACATCTACATCAAACTTTAGCAGACTCCAGAAGGCGTTCACTGATTCCGAATTCTTGTTAGGAGTCAGTCAGCATGATCATGTATCGTTGACGCGCCTCGATTGAGACGTGAGCCGCATGGAGCAAAGCCGGAAGAGCGAGGAAATCAAGCCAAGTAATTCTGATATAACAAGGTCATAGCGTGGCATAGTAATGGTTCAAGGTGTGGTGGGGTTGTCCACGCGTCAGGGCCGCGCAGATGGAAGCTCTGGTGAGGTTGGACAAGAACATGACATTCCCCTCACATCGATCTTTCCAGTCCTATACCCACTATCTAGTAGAGACTTTTCATTATATGCGTCAGCTCATCTTCGAAATAAGATTAAACTTTCTATTTTCCACGACCACGACAATGTATTTAAAGCGCATCTGCAATCGTAGTAAAAATGATAGTTCTAAACTTGACTAAGATGTATTCCTCAATCCGCCGTTTCGCCGCCTCCCGAGGTGGACAAAAGCTGAATTTTTGCTCCCAGTATGGCTTGGCCTTTTCACCCTTGGCTTGGCCAGCAATTTTGACCTGGCCACTGAAAGGGCTTCATTAGGTGCTCTGACCTTCCCGTCGATCTTTTTTATTTCAACGCGGTTTTCCTCATTGAAGACTTTGAGACTATTTATGGGGTTGAGCATATAGGTCTAGACTATTGGCTGGATTTAGAATTATAATTCGAGTGTTTGAATACTATCTAAAATGTCTAGTAATCGGTTGTATGCGGCTCACTCCTGTGTCCTTTGTCGCTTGCACCCCGCGCAGAATATTAAATAGAAGCCCTGCCGACAAGGTCCTCCGTGGATCCCTGTCGCAAGCAATACGAAGCACAACCGGGGCAATTGTGGGGCTTGTTGAGCCAGGTGACGCCTGAGGTACCGCGCCGTAGAAGAGAAGCGTTGGCTTCGCAGCAGCCACGTCGTGACGCTGGGTGCGGCCGGTATAAAGGGAAATTAGCTTCTCGATGTAGACCTGGTCGATGGTGATGTTGCAGGACGATGTTTCGATCTGATTGCTGTGAACATTTACTCATGAGACGACGTGTTCTTTGTGCTGGGTTTCATTTTACGCTGGTGCTCAGGTGCAGTTTCCTGAGGTGAGGACCTGGTGCAGGACGGGCCAGCGAGGACGCGGGCTCAGTGGCAGATGTGATCTGCATGCGACAAGGTCTTCGGATCGGGGATTGATGGCTGGTGAATGACCGTCTCAGGCAATGAAACAGAGAAGTTTGCCCACTACGAGGCGATGTAACGAACCAGTTGACGACGGGAAAAGGCGGGCTTTGATATGGAGAGGCAAAGCGCTGATCATCTCTACTTTCATCCTCCAAAACAGCTCAAAGTATGATATATGGGCTGCGCGGGGTTCTTGAAGCCAGCCAAGATACAACTGAATAACGGCAGCCTTCCTTCACTGGATCCAGATCTGTTGTTGACCAGCATGGTGTTCCTATCAGCTATTTTCGAAAGACGGGACGACACTCCCTAGCCTTTCGGAGCCACTGCATGAAACCTCGTATGAAGAGAATACAAGATGGAAGTAGTATGCGATTCCAAGATTGTAATGCAGGCTAGGTGGCAAGTTCCTCACCTTGGTCCGGTGTCATTCAAAAAATAGGTCTAGCACACTGCATATGCGTGCCGCTAACCGATTAAAACGGCTGGGAGCCAAGGGATCCCTATCAAATCCCGTCTTTCGATTCGTTGCCTTGTGATAATGGTAACACTTGATGGGTGACACAACACCGCTGCTCGATGCAGATATTGACAGCAAGACACCACCATTCGTGGCCGGCTCAGTCACTCTTTTTTGTGATATCAACGGGTCATGCATAGTGCAGCGAAGATAGCCACTCAAGCAAGAGCGAATTTAACCCGCAAATATCCACGTTATCCTTCGATAGGCTACGATGGGGATGATCATCACTAACGACGTTGCAACAAGCTCTGGGCAGGACTGCCGTGACACGACTTTGCGTGACACGGACTGGGAACACTGATATCTGCTTCGTAATGCTGGTATCTTGTCAAGTAGATAAGAAACAGCAAAGCCTTAGTCCGCATCCTTTCCCAGTAAGTTAAATACCAAATGCCTTGAGCCTGAAGACCTGAAGACCTGGAGACCAAATCACCTACCGAGCTAGTCGCATTCACCATGGCGATCGAATTCTCCATAACCTCTTTGACGTGGTCGAATGTTTTAGGCATCTTTGCGTCAGCAGCGTTGTTATACTATATCTTCTCAGTGATCTATACCTGGAGCTGTCTTCGAAAAGTTCCTGGCCCCTTCTTCGCCGCATTCTCATACCTGTGGGCACTATCTACCGTCACTGCCGGCCAAGAACCATGGATCTATACTGCTCTGGCCAAAAAGTACGGCCATCTCATAAGAGTTGGCCCTCGCCTTCTTCTCACCGACGACCCTGACGTCCTGAGGAAAATGTCCGGGGTGCGAAGCGCCTACGGCAAAGACGATTTCTACACAGGTGCGATCAGGCATCCTGATTACCTCACTATGTTTTCAACGCTAGATATACCAATGCATGATGCTATCAAAGCGAACCTGGCAAGCCCCTATGGGGGTCGTGAGACTTTGGCTATGGAGCCGATCGTGGATGACATGGTCAACGCGTTCCTTCGGAATATTCGAAACAAGACATCTAAGAGCTCTGACCTGTCAACTGTCATCAACTTTGTTGACGTAGTTAGCTACTTTACCTTGGACACGATCACTCGCATTGCATTTGGGAAGGCAATGGGATTTCTGGAGACCGATTCTGACGTCGGAGGTTTGTTTGCCGCGAGCCGTTTAGCTTTGAAGACCTACACGATCCCGTTGGCCACACCTTGGCTGCGCAGAATCACCCTCTCCAAGTGGTTCCTCAAGACTCTGGGTCCAAAACCGACCGACAAGAAAGGCTTCGGTGTTATCCTGGGGTGGGTACAAACACCCATGAGCGCCAAGAAAACACGTGAAGCTGACATGAAGATGATAGAGCGGCTGAGCAAGCTGTCAAGGAGCGCTACAAGCCGGGGGCTCCTGATGAGAAAGACTTGCTGGTAAGTCACAAGCATGTGTATGCTTGTTCAGCTGATGTTCTGATGTCAATGAACAGGGTGCCTTCATCCGGCACGGTCTTCCAGAGGGTCCCTGCCTGAGCGAAATATTGTTCTCCATCACTGCCGGCTCGGACACAACAGCATCCACTGTACGATGCACGATGCTTTATCTCATGTCAACTCCACGCGTGTATAACAAGTTAAAGGCGGTTATTTCCGAGGCCATCAGCAAAGGGATTATCTCCAGCCCAATCAAGCAGGAAGAGGCAAAGGCAATTCCCTATCTCCAGGTAAGAAGAGCACACGTTCTGTGAATCTATAGCTTGCTCGACGTTTCTGAGGCAAGCAAAAGCCAGTTTGAGTGCGGCTTACTGATTAGTATCAGGCTGTCATCTACGAGGGCCTTCGTATGCGTCCTCCCGTCCCAGCAATGTTTCCCAAAGTCGTACCTCCTCAAGGTGACGAGATCGACGGGAAGTTTATCCCCGGTGGTACCTCCATAGGTTGGAATTTGATACCTATGATGCGATCACCTCGCTATTGGGGCCATGATCCGGACATCTTCCGGCCCGAAAGGTTTATGGAGGCGGATAATAAGGCTCGAATGTTGATGGAACGTAACGTCGAGATGGTTTTTGGTTATGGCAGATACGGTTGCGCTGGAAAGCCCTTGGCTTTTATGGAACTAAACAAGATTTATTTCGAGGTAAGTTTCTCTATCAGTTCTATTTAGTTCTGACCCACAGCTAAAGCATGATCGCAGCTTTTCCGAAACTTCGATTTTCAGTTGGTGAATCCAATGAAGCCATGGGACTCTGAGTGTTGGTCTATTTGGGTTGAGGATAATTTCTTCGTTCAAGTCACAGAATGTCGAGCTGTCTGAACTGCGTCAGCTGTGATATATGTTCCCTTCTAATGTTATAATGAGGCTTATTTCCAATTTTGTCGACTCCCGTGGCATGATGTTGGATTGTGCAAGCGGCGTAAATCATTTTTTTTAAAAAAAATACTCGTTTTGCTTTTCACTTTAAATAGTAATAGTCCGCCTCAGTTCAATTTAGTTCTCCAGTTGTTGTCAGTTATAGTTATCCCCGTCACCTCCTGATTGCAAAGAGTCAAGTACCCAGGCCAAATGGACTAAGAGGAGATCTCGACGCAGTTGCGCAAACGAGCTCCTCGTACGGATAGTCCGTGGCTTCAGCCCGTTCAACTCAAGAATCGACTGATCTGAGAGGAGGAGATGAAAGCACATATGTTTAAAGAAACCTCGTCTCGTCTACTGAGAAATGAACACCGAAAAAGGTGGTCAAAAATGATTTTTCCATTGGGGGGTACACCACCGTTTTCTGACCCTGTCGCATTGTTTTGCAGTGGGTTAGCGGCACCAACATGAATTGACCAGTCAACGTGGGGCGATTAACCCCACGTAGTAGCAAAGTACCGACGTACCGCGTTGGCCCCTCCGCAGTCGGAAGAGCGCGCATCATGCTGGACAGGGGTTGGAATTTCAAGATCTGCGACCGAGACTCTGGAGCACACGGCACACGCACACAGGTTAGTCATAAGCTTTGGGACGAGGTCATACAAATTTTGCCAGACCTCTCAATCCCTCAACTCCACTTAGACCTCCCGACAGAAACCCCAGATCACAGGGAAGACCGTCTGTCCAAGGAGCACCATGGCAACCCAGCTTCCCGATCCCACAGAAGACCTCGACTGGTCAGGCTTTGTCGGCCCCATCCACGAGCGCTTCAGGGCCTCCGCCGAGGCTCACCCAGACAGGACATGCATCGTTGAGACCAAGACGGCCACCACTCCCGAGAGGGTCTTTACGTATCGTCAGATTTATGAGGCGTCCAATGCCCTCGCCCACTACCTGCACGATGCGGGCGTCACAAATGGAGATGTGGTCATGATCTGGGCCCATCGGTCGGTGGATTTGGTCGTCTGCATCATGGGAACCTTGGTAACTTACCTGCAACTTCACTTGGGTGCGGCAGAATTCATGTTAACGGGCTTCTCAAGGCATCTGGTGCGACAATGACTGTGCTAGACCCGGCATATCCTCCAGCCCGGCAACAGGTGAGTCACACGTTCCAGGGCAGCAAACGACAGACCTCTGGCAAAGCTGGCTCAGAGCTTTACGACTGGACTTCTGGGCAAATTTATTAAGTGTCTTGCATTAGGTTTACCTCGAAGTGTCCCAGCCACGAGCACTGATCAGAATCGGCCGGGCAACAGACGAGAACGGGCCATTGGCTCCTCTCGTCCAAAGCTACATCGACGAGTCGCTTCAGCTTAAGGCCGAAGTGCCTGAACTTCGCCTCCGTGATGATGGCTATCTCTTCGGCGGTGAGGTCGACGGTCAGGATGTCTTCCAGAGCGCAAGGGAGAAGGCTTCATCACCACCCGATGTTCTTGTGGGGCCAGACTCGAACCCTACGCTGTCCTTCACGTCAGGAAGCGAGGGGCGGCCCAAGGGTGTACTTGGTCGTCATTACAGTCTGACGAGGTACTACGGCTGGATGGCCGAGCGTTTCAACCTATCATCCGAGAGTAAATTTACCATGCTGTCTGGAATTGCTCATGACCCTATCCAGAGAGATATCTTTACACCACTCTTCCTTGGAGCGCAACTGCTGGTTCCAGCGAAGGAGGATATCCAGCACGAGAAATTGGCTGAATGGATGAGCGAGCACAAGCCGACAGTCAGTCATTTGACCCCGGCTATGGGTCAGATCCTGGTCGGCGGTGCCACGGCGCAATTCCCTAGCCTCCAAAATGTCTTCTTTGTCGGCGACGTTCTGACAACAAGAGATTGTCGAGTTCTCAGGCGACTTGCGGTCAACGCAAACATCATCAATATGTACGGAACGACCGAGACGCAGCGAGCTGTCAGTTATTACGAGATTCCAAGCGCGACGAGGGACCCTGATTACCTGAACAAGCTCAAGGACACCGTCCCTGCTGGAAAGGGTATGCAGAATGTCCAGCTATTGGTGGTGAGCCGAGAGGACAAGACAAAGATGTGCAAGGTTGGCGAAGTGGGCGAGATTTATTGCCGTGCTGCAGGTCTGGCCGAGGGCTACCTCGGAGACGAGCAAAAGAACGCCGAGAAGTTCCTCTCAAATTGGTTCGTCGACAACCAGAAGTGGGTAGAGCTTGACGCAAAGAACAGCAAGAACGAGCCGTGGCGCAAGTACTACAAAGGCCCTCGAGACAGGCTCTACCGAACCGGTGATCTTGGACGGTACTTGGAAACCGGAGACGTCGAGTGCACAGGACGGGCCGATGACCAGGTCAAGATTCGTGGTTTCCGTATTGAGCTGAACGACATCGACAGCAACCTGAGCCAGCACCCACTGATCCGAGACTGCAAGACACTCGTGCGAAGAGATCGAAACGAGGAACCCTCACTGGTCAGCTACATCGTACCCGAGGCCAAAGAATGGGAGCGCTGGCTTTCGTCTAACAAGTATGAGGATGTCGAAGACGAGGGTGTTGAGATGGGAACTGTGAGAGTCTATCTGAAGAAGTACAGACGGATGCAGACCGAGGTGCGAGACCACCTGAAGTCCCGTCTGCCGGTCTACGCCGTGCCAACCATCTACATTGTGCTCAACAAGCTGCCTTTGAACCCCAATGGCAAGGTGGATAAGCCTAACCTGCCTTTCCCTGATGTGGCTGAACGCACAGAAGAGGCGTCAGAAGAGGACCTGAAGAACTGGGAGTCCCTGTCGGAGACAGAACGAGCAGTTGCCCAGAAGTGGGCTGAGCTCGTCCGTGGTCTGAACCCAAAGACCATCAAACAGGATCAGAGCTTCTTCGATCTCGGTGGACACAGTTTGCTGGCCCAGCAGCTCCTTTTGATGACTCGCAAGGAATTTGGTGTCGATATTTCTATCAATCTGCTCTACGAATTTCCAACTCTGGCTGGCTTTAGCGGTCAGATTGAGAAGGTGAAGGGTGGCGCTGGCGTGGACGTCGAGGAAGGCGACCCCGAGTACGCCAAATCATACGACGAGCTGGTTGAGATCCTGTCCGATAAGTATCAGTCCGCAGACACCGAGGCTGCAGGGGACGCCGAGAACTTGACAGTCTTCTTGACAGGAGCGACAGGATTCTTGGGTGCCTATCTTATCAATGAGATCCTCGAGCGACCAAAGCCCAACATCAAGTTGATCGCTCATGTGCGAGGCGCCAAGAACCCTGCTGCGGCGTTGGAGCGGCTGCAACGCTCACTGCGCGGAAACGGGGTATGGAAAGATGAGTGGAGCTCGAGATTGAGCTGTGTCGTGGGAGACCTGTCCCAACCACAGCTCGGCATCGACATTCTCACATGGAAGAGGCTGAGCAAAGAAGTGGACGTGGTTATACACAACGGTGCTTCAGTTCACTGGGTCAAGCGATACCACGAGATGATGCCACCGAACGTCCTCTCCACCATTGACGCCATGAGGCTCTGCAACGAAGGCAAGCCCAAGCGATTCTCATTCGTCAGCTCCACTGCCGTCCTGGACTCGGACCATTACATCAAGCTCTCCGAAGACTTGACCAGAACAGGACAAGGCTCGATCACAGAAGAAGACGATATGCTAGGCAGCCGGACCGGCCTCGGCACGGGCTACGGCCAGACCAAGTGGGTGTCCGAGCAACTGATCCGCGAGGCGGGCAAGCGCGGACTGCGAGGCACCATCATCCGACCAGGCTACATCTTGGGTGACGCGGAGACTGGTGTTTGCAATGTCGACGACTTCATGATCCGCATGCTGAAGGGCTGCATCCAGTTGCAGAGCCGGCCGCGGATCATCAACACGGTCAACGCCGTGCCCGTCAAGCACGTGGCGCGGGTGGTGGTGGCCGGCGCGTTGAACCCCATCCCCGGCGGCGTGCACGTGGCACAGGTGACGGCGCACCCGCGGCTGCGGATGAACGAGTACCTGTCGATCCTGGAGTTCTACGGCTACAAGACGCCCGAAGTGTCGTATGACGCGTGGAAGGATGACCTGGAGCGATTCGTGTCGGCAGGTCCGATCGAGAAGGACCAGGAGCAGCACGCGCTGATGCCGCTGTTCCACTTCTGCATGAACGATCTGCCGGCCAACACGCGCGCGCCCGAGCTGGACGACCGCAACGCCGTCGCCGTGCTCAAGGCTGACGCTGACCGGTACACGGGTGTCGACGAGAGCATGGGATACGGCGTGTCGAGGGAGGATGTCGGGCGATACCTCAAGTATCTCGCCGAGATCAAGTATATCAGCCTCCCGTCCGAGAGGGGCCGGCCGCTGCCTGAGATCAAGGCGGACATTGCGAGCGCGAAGGCTGCTGGTGGACGTGGTGGAGCGTGAGCCCTGGGTTTGTGGTGTTTCTCTCCATGCTCGGTTTACTAGAGGCTTAGATAAAAACGAGACCGAGGATCGAATGTGAATGATATTCAAGCTGCAATGTATCGGGGCGGGAAGAGGATAGCAAGAGGAAGGCCTCGAAAAGAAGTCCCCTAACCCTTGAGCTTACTGTCTTTTCTTCTCCTGGTCAGTGACGACTTGGGGAACCAGCCCCCCTGAAATCGCGTGCTCAGTCTAGCGGTTTCGCAGGAGCCGGCCAGGCAGGATCGCTTCTCCAGGCCGCACTGCTCTGCTTAGCCGGGTTCTCAACAGATCCTTCGACGAGGGAGTTTCCCCCTCTGCTTTCGCCATAGACTAGACCTTGTCTAAGGAAGATTAGCGGGCGCTTAGAGCTACGACCTCTCTCTGCTCAAGTGTCATTTCCGGCTATCTCCTCGGTTTTCCAGGTGCTCGTCATCATCCTTTTGTTCGCCACGTTTTGATCTTCTTCTTTTTTCTCTCCTCGAGCTTTCCTATTCAATTGCTGTTATGTAGAGTAACCCTGGGACGAGTGCGTCCACGACAGGGATAGGCATTGGCGTCACACAAGCGCTCCTTTTTTAAGCTTGTTTGTTCCCCACGTGCCGCGCCAATCTCTTAAGCTCCTATGCTCCTCCGCCGGATCTCGCGATGAACAACCGCGTCGGAACCTTGCCGGCGACAGCGACAGCCGGACAGGAGCCCACTGCTGCCGCCGCTGCTGCTGCAGCACTGCCATCATCATTCGCCCTGGGCATGGATGTCGGCGGCGGCGATATCCAGTCTGCGACGTATGGGCAGCAGCCGCAGCAGCAGCAGCACCAGTCGGTGCCTTTTTGGGACCATGCTGCGCCGGCTGCGAGGCGCCGTCGCTCCGGGGCGCCTCGCGAGGGCTGCACCATGTGTAGGCTGCGTAAGGTGAGACGAGAAACGGTCCTCCTTGCACACTCGCTAGTCCATGTGCACTGCACGCCTGTCGTGTAACCCGGCGTCCCTATGCTAAAGTCTTCGTATAGGTGAAGTGCTCTGGCAAGCCGGCGAAGAACGGCCCTTGCGCCAACTGCTCGAGGCTGGAGCTTGAATGCAGCTTTATGGATGCCGAGCAAGGTAAACATGTTCTGTTATGCTTGAAACTCCTCTAGATAAGGACAGCGTCTCACGTCGTACTCACTCTGTCGTTGTAGGCAAGGTGTCTCGGGTGGCACCATCAAGAGACCGCACAGAGGCCGGGACGGCCAGGAAACGCGCTCAGAAGGCCTGCAAGGAGTGTCATCTCCACAAAACAAAGTGTTCTGGAGATCTTCCACGGTGTAAGCGGTGCGAGGCAAATGACTTGGCGTGCGAGTATGTGGCTTCGAGGAGAAAGTTCTCCCATGCACCTACTATCCAGTCGACGTCTCAGAGCACCCAGAGCGCCCACAGCGCCCAGAGCGACAACCAGGAAGTCGAGACTAGGCTAAGTTTGCCGGACATCAAGACCGACGCAAAACCACTGATATCACCTGTCGATTTCTCTATCTCCCCAGCCTTAACGTCCCAGACTAGGCGGTCTTCTATCGGGAACCTATACGGAGAGTAGGTACTTATAAATCCTTCGCACTAGACTTGGTAGCTCACAGACTTCTTGCAGAGACCTCTTAGCTCAAAAAGATACCTTGCTGAGACACTTTGATGTCTTCTTCCAGCTGTGGGCGCCGATGCCCTGCATGGGTATCATGCAGCGGGACTGTACCTATCTCGAGATCGATGAACGACGGCTCCACCCTATCGTGGCCGCGGCTGTCTGTGCCATGACGTCCCGTGTCGTCCAACCGGGCGAGGAGAAGCATATTCCGTTCGCGGACAGGTGTGCAGACCAGGTTGACTTCTACCTGTTCCGCACTATCGACTCGTTCCTCCGCAAAAACGCCCACGAAAACCTGATCATCCTGGTCTGCGCCATCTGCCACTTCTGGCACGAGAATCAGATGAGCAAGGTCTGGATGTACATGGGGCTCGCCGCACGCCTCATCACGGCCCTGCAGCTGAACTGGGATGGCGCAGGTGAGTCCGTTATCAAGCAGGAGACTAATCGCCGGCTGGTCTGGGTATGCTACCTGCTAGATCGTTTGTTGGCAGGCGGCTTCGACGAGCATCTTGTACTTCGGGACGACGACATGCACCTCAAATTACCTGTCAGCAACGAGGTATTATTTGAAGCCGTGCAATCGGCAGAAGCATCTGGGCAACCTGCCGCTTCGGCCGGTTTCGTAGGCACGAGAAGTACCTCAAAAGTATTGTCCCTGGACGGCTATCACCTCAGGCTACATAGACTCAGGCATCACATTTTGGGTGTTACGAAACGGCTCACAAGCCCACCGACTCCGCATCCTCGCAGACCGCGGCTAGAGGCATCCCAGGTCATCAAGCTGGTCAACGGCCTTCAGAATCAACTCATAAGCTTCAACCAATCCATATCCGAGGATCTGAAATTAAACGACGCCAACACCAACCGATTCCTTAACTCTCCAGACGGTCCAAGCTTTATCATGCTGCATTCTCTTTTCTGGCTCCTCCACGTCGACCTGTACCGCTTCACTATCCCAGGCATCCGTGAAGAAGCCAACCCGGAGTTGATACGGCAACTACCCAGAGACTTTGTTCTCAAGTCACAGAGACAAGCAGTCGGCTACGCCGTCAGCCTCGCCCGGTTCTGGCGGTCCCTGCAAGGCATCGTGGCCAAGAGACCCCCGGGGGACGGGACTGAGAGACTCCTCACGGTGGACCAGATGTTTGCCATTTACGTCATCCAACCGACTAAGATACTGCTAGCTGCAAGGCAACATCACCTCTTCGACGATTTGGAGGACAGCACTGCGCCCCTTGTGCGGCAGGAACCGGTCGACGATGCGGCCTTAGCGGCTCTCGTCGAGTCCAACTTACAACTAATCCCACCCTTCGCTCGCTTCTTCCCTCGTATTATGGATATAGTAAGCTCTGCCCTATTTTTGTATTCCACTCTGACATTTCGCAATATCGCTGACAGTAATACTCAGACGCAAGATCTCCGCGAGGCGGTCGCCAACTTTACACATGACACTCGTTACGATCAGCCGGCGACTATAGGGTATGTAAACGCACAGAAGAAAAAAATAAATCTACTATTGTTCCCTGGATCGAGTGCTAAATATGGTCCGCAATTTAGTGCGCCCGCTGTCAAGCCGCCCGAGAACATCAGACTGCCCGGACCCCACTACGTCCTCGAGAACGCGCTTGTGCAGCGAGTTACCGATCAGGACGACAGGGACAGGGAAAGACAGAGGAACATGTCAGCCGCAGACCTCTGGTTCCGGTCCAAGAAGAGGTCCAGGGAAGAAAGCCCGGTGACGCCGCCAATTAGGACCCAGGAAGAAGCTCCCTTACCTGTCAACGGTGCCCCCGAGATCCCTATCTGGCTGGCAGAGGCACGTGGCTGCGACCCGCTGCCGGACACGCCCCCGCAGGACAGCAATAGTGATGCCCAGGCCTGGATGGCCTCTCAATCCGGGGTGGGCCTAGGCCTCAGCAACGCCTATCTCTTCGACGGGTCCTGGCCTGTTCCGCAGCAAAGCGAGTTTGACATGATGATGAGCCACCCATATGGGCACTCGGGCACGACGACGCTGCTGTATGAGCGGGCGAGGGGCAGCGCGAGCACTGCTATACCCCCAGTCATGCATGGCGGGCCCGAGAAGAGCGGGTATTATGACAGGGCGGTTAGTACACACGCGGTTGGTACACACCTACCCTATCCACAGCATTTCAACGATTTTGTTGGCAATTGATAAAGGTTTTGAGAGTTCCATGGGTTGTATATATTTCTCTGAAAGCTCTCTAAATTGATAAGAAAAGGTTTCTATGCGCCTCGCTTCTCCCACTGGCTCTTTGGACTCTCCAGGTCAAGCTTGGAGAACGGGGTCTTTCTGGTGAGGGAGTAAGTCACGGCCTCTCAACCATGAACCGCAGTACATTCGACTCCATCACCTTTCTTACCTCGGCGTACTGAGATTCCTCCGCAAGGCTATGTATGTAGCTCATGAGGGTCGCCCTTCCTGCTATACAGCTCAGACGGCTCGTCCAGCCGGTACACACGTTCACTCCTTGTCCCTGATAGACACTGCCTTTCCCACCAATGCCGTATCCTCGTGCTGAAGGGCAGGCTCGATGTCGTACGGGTATAGCGCCTGTTCCAGCAGCGGCCCCTCGCTCAGAAGGAAGCAGCCCTCGCTGAAGGCGAACTCACTGTGTTTGATCACGTTCCCGTGCTCATCCTTCGCACCGCGGACAACGACATCACAAAAGGGCCGCCCGCAGTACGGGAAAGTGCTCGCCCAAGTACTCGCCGTTGTCCGTGAAGAACATGGCCACGGTGCTGTCCCAGTGTCCCCGCTCCTTGGTCCTCGCGACCACGCAGCCGAGCTGGTCGCACAGGCGCGTAATCATGCCTTAGTATGTCGCTGTCACCTCGGCCCATACCTCGCGCGTAGCGCTATCCGTGCCGCATCGCTCGCAGTTGGTAGCCATGTACTGTGGTTCGTAGCCTGTCTGGTTTTCGGAGGTAGTGAACTTCGTAAGAATGCCTACCAAATTGGATCAAAACACACCTTGTCATCCTTACTCGACGGCGGAGGCATATCTTCCCGATCATACATCGAGAAGTCTGGCTCCTCAACCTGGAAAGGACAATGCGGGAAGATCAGCGGCATGCATGGCACCCAAGGCTTGTCCTCAGGTGGGCTTTCGAGCCACTTCAGTGCCGAGCGGACTACAGCATCATCATAGTACTTGGCCTGATCCGCACCCCTCAGCCCTCGATGAAACAGCCTCCGCCAGATATCATCCCTCTCCTCCACCTCCTTCCCCAGCTCGTCCCCGAGCCGCGGCACAAATTCAGGCGTCTTGAGGAATCCATACTCATCCAGATCTGGCTCAGCTCCGTCACCTCAGGCGCGAAGTTGTCGTCCAAGGGCGTCGTGCCTGAGCTGGTTTGGCATAAAAATTACGAAGTTGGACTTTTGCACTTTCATGCCGCTTGGTTTAGAGGTGGCGAGGGGGGAGGGCCTTGAGCTGGCATATTGGTGGTGATTGTGGAAGTCATCATGGGCATGGTCTGTTTGGAGGTGGTAGGTGGGTGGATGTGTACTTCATCAGGTGTATGTTGCGGCTGGTCGTCAATAAATCGGCGATTACCTTTTGTGTACTATGGATTCTATAATGGCTCATCCATGGAGTCAGGAACAGACTGGACTGGATGGACAAATACCACCCTTCAATCTCTTCGTTAGAGCGGCTTTGTAACTTTTGTATGTCCTCACAACGCAAGGCGTGCCTGCTCTCATGCTGGCGATTGAGCCTTGAGCTCATCAAGTAGTAGTCGTATCAAGCTGGCAGCACGTCACTGAAAATGCAACATATGGAGATAAGAAGAAGAAAGACCAGCGCAGCATCGAAGCAAGTGAAAGACACATCGTGAAGCCAAGGCGTTGGGAGACAGAGGCGACTCCCGGGCGACTCCCGGGCAAGACGTCAAGCTGCAAGACATCCCGCCGTTGGGACCCGCGAAACACCAATGAGGTCCCATCGCCGCTCCTGGCCAGGCGGTTCTCTCCCGCGGGGCATCACCTTTTGGCTTTCGGCTGCGGTTGCAGTGGGCGGGGCTGGGCCATCTGGGCGCTCTGTCCTCCCAAGTCTATCTCCATGTGCGCGACTCGCCGGCGGGCGGTAGGATTTTCACCCATGTTGCCAAGTGGTCCCAGCTCGGCTGTTACAGTCGTGAGCTTGTTGCTCTCGTGAGGATTGACGCAAAGCGAGAGCCGGAGTCAAAGGCGGGGCATGCTGGAGGGTGTCGACGAACTCAGTCTGAACTTCACTCATCCAGCCAGCCTGCCAGCTAGACTAACCAGGCATGCAAAAGAAGACCACGCGGCTAGTGCAGTCATCCGCCCTGTCTAATCCACGACCGCTCGGGCTGGCACGACCAGCGAGTGCCACATCCCCAAGCCCCTAGCGCGTTTTCCCCAGGAAAGGAGGAAGAGGGCGACGGGTTAATGAACTTGAGACGAACCACGGCCGGCACGAGCATGTCTCAAAAAGTTTCAAAAGGACCTGGGCGTAATTAGCAGCGACTTGAGTAGTCAAGTCAAGCCACGAGGGCGGTCCCCCCATTCTTTACATGCCCCCTCAAGGCGTGGAGGAAATTTCCGGCTTGGCAAGATTAGGTTTTGTTTCCGCTACGACCCCGGACTCTTTCACTCAGACTTCCTTCAAATTGGGCCGTGTGTCTGGATAGAAAAGAGATTTTCTCTAACCAGATTCAACACGATTGGAAAAAAATCGTCAGTATTGGGCAGCGCTAGATTTCAGCAAGCGTCATGTTATTCTGGGCAAAAACTGTTAGTACCACGCACCGGCTCCGCTCGGCTCCGCTGCGTGGAAAGCTGTGCCTTGATCAAGTCAGCGACATGCTTCTCTTGACAATGGTGTCATACGAGACTTTTCTTTCGTGACTCGGGGGCCGAGGTGGAGATGCGTGCGTCTGGGCCAGGGTACTGGGTTCTGGGACACGAGCACCGCGGAATATCGAAACTTGATTGAACCAGGTCCGCGTTGATATCCGATTTCGTAAATCAAGGCCGGTGGAAAGAACGGGGCAGTGGACTGCTTGTCGTGGCCCTGGGGAGAGAAGCTGCATGGGTCGGTAGACGCAGTGGGCAGTCGACAATGCGATGTCCTGTCTGCTCCATTGCCTTGGGTAGGAAAACCTGAGACTAGCATTGCTTAGAAAAACACTGCTGCTTCTAGGCTCTAAGAATAGTGATTATACAATATTAGAATGTACAAATTCCGCAAGCCAGAGTGTCAAAGAAAATCAGTCCTTGCAAATGCTCGCTTGATTTGTGGAATTCATCCTCCTTGCTTCCCCCAAAACCGGCCGCCCAATGCAGTAAAATGCAACACAGAACTCGAACTTGCAGTCGTGCGCCGTATGTACACGAGATGCCCGCCATAGTCCTGAGTGTGCACAAGTGCCTCGAGCGCACATAAACAGGCGCGGGAGTCGCTTGGGTACTTGTTTTGGATTCTCGCCCTCCACCCTCCCCCTCCTGCCCTTCCGCCCCCCGCGTTCCTCCACACGCCCAGCTCTAGCCACTGAAGTCGCGGGTGAAAAAGTCGGTTCAACTGGTCGACAGGATGGAGAAGCGAAAGCGTGTGCAGGGGTATCCTTGGCTGCAGACAGCGAAATTTGGCAAATTGGCACCTCTCCAAACGCCCTATCCCCTTTCAGAAATTCGGTATCAAAGTCGTTACTGGGGTGGAGGCTTGGTTTTGTCAAGCCCCGAGGTATATATGTAAATGGTCGTAATCGGTCGGTGATATTCGGTCGGAGTGGTGGTTTAGTGGTAATCCTCGCGCTTCTTCTCCTTCAGGCCTCCAATATCGTCCATGTCGATGGAGTAGAACTGGTGGCTGCTCTCCTTCTCGTAGGCGGGGAGCTGTTCCTCGTCCAGGGGCTCCATGCCGACGGTGGCATTGTCGCCAACGCGCACAACCAGAACGCGACCACTCTTCCGACGACCGCTGTCGTCCTCCTCCTCAGGGAAGGTGATGTGAATCTCCGGCACGTTGTCGGGCGAGTGAGGGGGCTGGTTGGGGTTTGCCAGCATTGGCTGCCCGTCCTTGTTGAAGACCAGCACGCTAGAATGGCCGTTTCTGGTCTCGATGGTCAGACGGCGGTGGTTACTGGTGCGCTTGGCGTCTTGCACGACGTCGTTGTACTGTGGGAGGGAGTCTTTGCGCACTCTCTGCTGGTTGTTTCGCATTCTTCGGAGAATAAACAAGACTCCGCCGAGGAGCAGGCCGAGGACCACGACTACAGCCAGGATGATGATCAGCAGGTTGATGACGTTGGGGCTGCCCTCGTCGTCCTCTGCAAGAACATCGCGCATGGCGAGGTGGTTCCGGGCGATCAGCTTCGATATAGCAGGCATGGTGGTTGCTGTTGCTGGTACTGGTGGTGTTGTTCCTGGTTGTGGTTTGGTTTGTGTGTACAGGTCTCAATAAATGAATGTGATATGATAATAACAGTGATAATGATACTCTCGATCGAGCGGTGACGGTGTCAAGACGTTACGAGATATCGGAGACGCTTCTGTCGTATCTGTCAGTTTTTGATACTTGCACGCTTGGGCTACGCGATACCGGAAGAGTGTCTCTGGACCATGTCTCGCCGCGGCTGGTTGTACAAGGGAGGAAGGGATCTGAATCATGGGCGTTTGGGTTAAGATTGAATAGCGTGCCCGACATACCTCTGCGAAGAATGGCCCCGGCGGTCAGGGTGGGAGTCAGGATCACTAATTATTACGATTTGGACGTCGGCCAGGCTCGAACTGACTTGTTTGTCGAGTCGTAGCGTAGTCGTCAGGAATTCCAGGGAATGTGAGGAGCCAAGTACACAAGGGAAAATGAAAGGACGGAAACTCGACTGAAAGAATGAAGTCGAGACCAAGGGGGGAGAGAGGGAGGGGGGCAATGTCTAATCTCGAGGGATTATGTGTAGTGCAGCATGTGCAGTATGGGAAGGAACGACTGTGGACTTGACGACGCCGGTGACAATGGACCAGGTGGTGAAGGAAAGGGAAAGAAAGGAAAGGGTTGGAAGGGGCAGGAACGGGCAGACCACCTCCTTAGATGAGATCGAGCCGCTCGAGCCACAAAGAGCAAGCACACAGCACATCGCTCTCTCACTCTCTCTCTCTCACCCACCCACACTTACCGCACTTACCACTCACACCACACCACTCACCACACTATTGCCTACCACTGCCGCTGCCGCTGCCACTACGCTGCTTCTGCACTGAGGGCTGACCCTGTCAGTCAGTCAGCCAGTCAGCCAGCCAGGAGCCAGCCAGCCTGCACGCACAGGCGTGTAATTGGGGACAGGACAGGGCAGGGCAAGGTGAGAATGGATGGGTGAGTGCCCACTTCTGCCACTGTGGACAGACACAGAGACGGGTTCGATGCAACTAGACTGCAGGTGCCAGGGACAGAAATGCAGGTACGCACGGGGGATGCAACGGCGCCAAAGCTCGGGTGTGGAAACCACGCCCGCAAGGCTTTGTCTAGTGATTGGCCGCGCCCTGCTGCACCCCTGATCATTGCCGCCCTAGCGTCAGCTCAATTTCAACGCTCAGGAACACGCACCCAATCAGCCGCCTCGCCTGTTTGCAAACGAAGGGAGGGTGGGCCCCCCAATTTGGGATCCATGGCAGCTTCCTGCTGCTTTCTCGTCCTCCCCCCCAGTTGCCCCCAGTGCCCCCTTTCCCCTTCTGGCCGGAGACCAAATGGTCAGGATCGCTCAAGGCCACGCTGCCCAGGATCAGCGCTTTGTTTGGCTCCAGAATCCACCCAAAAGCGGTCCAGATTTTGCAGCGGCGTGCATGGCTGAAAGGATCGCCTCGCCTCGCCTCGCCTCATCACGGCAGGGCAGGGCATCGGGATGTCAGGGCGTCTTGACCTTCTTCTTCTCCTCATCCGCCTTCGCCTCCTCCTTTGTTGCCCGCCGTCCTTGGAAAACAGTAACCAGGAGCGATAGCCCGGGGGGGACTGAGTAAACAAACCTCAACCCAGGAACCAGGACAAACCCACCGGCCCGTGGCTCATGTCCGAGCCAGAGGTTCATCCCGTCGGCCCCCTGACCTCGACAAGGAGCGTTAAAAACCAATAACAACAAAGAATAATCCGTCAGTGGCCAGATCGGTTCACTGCCTGCTTGGGGGTTCCTCGTGTTTGCATCGCCCCCAATCCGCCAGCCCAGTCCTGGACCGAGTCCAGTCCAATCTATGCATTGCATTGCCTGGTCTCACTGCACTGCGGTGATTTCCTCTTACTGCATCTGCAACGTCACCACACTGACGTGTTTGGCAAACATGGAAAGGGTCTAAAAACTCTTACCAATAGCTCGAGGTTACACGAGGACCACGAGACCCCCCAATAGAGTTTTGCCTTACCTTCAAGTCCATGCTCACCA